ACTGACAAGGCGTTCCCAAGCACATTTTGGTATTTTGGTGAGCCGCGCAGCCTGGCGTAAGTATCCCCCTCCCTAACTCAGCTCCTCCCAGCACCATAAGTCGTAGACGGGGAGGAGAAAGGGCGTGTAGTGGTTTTAACAAAGCCGAGACCTGTTTTCACCAATCACATAAGCTCCTCTCCTTGCCTTTAAATCCGCCACAGGCGAGGCGTATTACTATTTTCATGAAGTAGTCAAAGAGATCAAGAGATGTCTTAAGACAGCTATGCCACAAGATGGCGACAGAGGGCAGCTCCTCAACAAGTGTCCTCCACACTCTCTCATATGAGCACAGATGGATTTAGTGTGCGTAATGTTGGACCCACTGGTAAGACAAACACCCTTTTCCACAAATAAAGACACTCACATAAAGTTGCTCATATTCAAACCTCACGTGACAAAGGTGGGTTGAGCGCACAGATCACAACATAAACTCCAAAAATGGCATTAAAATCGGAACCATCTGTGCGTAAATGACGCATCGCGCTCCGTGGCCTGGCTCTTTCTTTCATAGATGTTGGCATATAAAATAAATTTGGCTCACAAAACTGAATATTATAATATCCGTATGTCGGCTTAAAGTAGATCACGCATCTGGGCACTGAAACAAATCATCTGTTCAGCTGCAGCAGCAGCAAGACGGACAGAGGACACGGAGACGTGTCCAGGTCGAGCTGCGCGAGAAATAAGAGGAAGAGGAAGAAAGAAAAGGAGGGAGACGAATTACATATCTTGTTAACTTCATCATGTGTGTATATTTACTAGATATTTAATTTAATTTGATGCAGTTTCAGCTGTGTTGATTCGGTCAGGTTGTGTGTCCAAACGCGTGCCAAACCAGATCAGATATAGATCAGAATATATCGATATAGATCTAAATGTATGTGCTGACTCAGATTAATAGTTGATGATGATTATTTATTGCACTGAAATGTGCCTGACACTGTGGAAACCTGCCGGTGAGGCATCAGTGACGTATGTCGATACGCCGCCGGTCTACCAAAATACTACTAGACCAGCTGCGTTCCGCCTTGCGCTGAAAGCTGACCAGGTTTGAATCGGCGAGCTTTCAGCGCACTTTACACGCCGTTGGCGAGCACGAAAATGTCACTGCGCCAACTGATTCTGTCAACACCTCCCCCTGCCACACCATCACGCCCAGCTTGGCGGATCTCGGCTCGCCTCCGTGCGGCTCATGCCACGAAAATACCAAATTGGCCTTACGCTGGGCTCCGCCAGACGAAAATACAACTGCGCGGGGCTCGCCGCCCTCCGCCGCCTCACCGGCGCGCACGAAAATAGAGCCCATAGACTTTTTGTTTTGCCTCAATCTAAAATGGACATTGAGCTGCTCGTCTGTAAAGTTTTGCAAAAAAGGCAAACATGGTTTGTTAGGTGAATGATTTTGGTCAGGAAAACATAATTTATGATGATATAAAAATGAAGTCAAAGAGCACTGATTGGATAAATGGCTGTGTGGACAGAACTCAAGGGAGGTCCAGATGAGAGAAGACTGACGGGCACAGAGTATGGCTCTGACATGCAGCTCTGTTATTTGTGAAGGGGGGACAAAGGAGATACATGAATGAATAGTTGATACAGACACAGAGACATGTTATGTCCTTGATGTGTCTGTAAATGTGAACTGTGATGAGCTCCATCCATCAAGCAGATGCAACAGCCAGATTGGGCCAATCAAAAGCAGTCACACTTTTTTTTTTAGACGATTCAGTCTGAGGAAAAATAGTGAGGCTGGAAATGTGGGGGGAAAAGATGACAGTTTTTGCTGTGGGACTATAAGAGAAAAATCACAAAAGGTGAGAGGTCAGAGAACTGGGCACTAAACTGATTTCTTAGATTGGAGAGGAGGGAGCAGAGGCTGGGAACACACTGTCGACACATTTCTGAGATTGATAGAGACAGAAAGAGAGGCAGACAGGTAGGAAGAAAGATGGCTTACAGGGGAGGAGAGGGGTGTTGGCTTGTCTTGTGAGGTTATTGAGCTGCTGCCAAGACAGAACTACAGGAGCTGCAGAGGCAGTCCTCTGGAAGACACATTAATGACGCCCCTCAGTACAAAATCTAACCCATACCATGTACTGATACTGAAGTGCTGCCCTCATGTTAGAGGTTTAAATGTATGTATGCTTTTTCCACGTATCAAGTCATCAAAACCTTGTTCATGTTATTTATTTTATTCTTTATACAAATATAGCAATATCTAAACCCAAAGAAGACGAATGAAGCAATGACGACTTTCCATTTCATAAAAACTAATTTGAATAAACTTCAGTAAAGATTCAACATTCCTATGGTATAAACAAACAGCACTGAACTGTAAAAGTGAGAGAGTTTTCAGCGCTGGACAAGCCTCTTGCTTACTCGTTTTGTCAATCGTTTTGCAAAATAATAGTTTGACCAAGAGACAATTCAATGGTTACAGGCTAGAGAGAGTCATGTTACCACCTGTTGCAGCAAGGGCTGATATGCTCCTGTCAATAATTCTTTTCTTGCCCAGTGCATGTATAAACTGTGACAAGAACAGTGGCTCAGTTAAATCACCTAATTAAGCTATAACTGTAGCTGGACTTATCTTTTTAACTGTCACTATGGATACATGCAAAGTTGAGTTTAGCAGCACCTCTTTATCACAGCATCTCTCCCTCATGTAGCAATCAAGACAATCCTGTATGTGAAACTCACACATTCCTCGCAGGAAAGTTTCCTTATCTGGTCCCTGAACACAGGATAATATAAATCTTTCCAGACTTGTTTGCCCTTTCAGGTTACCCATCTAACCTCTGGCTCTTCATGATTGGTCAATTCGGAGAACAGAGACAGAGTTTTTATTACCTTTCAAACTGACTCCATCAATGACCATCTAAATAATCATTAATGCCTGAATCCAGGTCTCCCATTTGAGATTTACCGCCTTAAACACACAGACCCAAGATAAGCTCTGAGGAGCAGGACACTGACCTCTAGACCTCGGTCGTAAAACCCTGCTCAACCATGTTCTGATAAAAACTGCATACCTTTGGAGAAAGACTAAATGACTGATCATGACATCTTATGCATTCAGCAATGTACTAATCCGTCTAATCATGAGATTTGTGTTAAAATGAGATGTTTCCCGTTTTTCTATGTGCTCCAGAGGCCAAGTTATCACTCTGACAGAATAAATCCTTATTCTTTAGTTTCTTTAGACCCGGTAATTCCGGGTTTTTCTCCACTTCCTTGAACCCCCCCGGATGTCCTTCCAGGCTTTCATTCGTAACGCTAATAGCTTCCCCGCTCGTCGCGACCAAGAATAAGTAAGTTCCACTTCTCATAGTATAACGTGAAATGTGTCAGGGGTCATGTCACATGTCGGTTAACACAGTTTACTGCAGAACAACTCATTTTTCCAATGCAACAAAAGAGAAAAACGATGGAAAAATTTAATCCTCTTCTCCGCTAGCAAACCCAATTGCTCTTGACGATGAACGAAAAAGAGCGACGCACAAGCGGAAAGTGCAAAGTGTAGAGAATGACGCAATTTCCTGTTTTTATAACTCCTAATAACTTTTCAAAAATGGAGCTGCAGAGAGAAAAAAAGACCTGAACACAAACCAGTCTAATAATAACTACATGTCAACATCGCAGTCGGGGGTGAGAAAAGTGTATTTTCTGTGTAATTAATTTCTTAAGGCCGTCCGCCGCTCAATTCACTTTGCTGGCAGAAGTGGGGTTTATGATTTGTACTGCAGCCAGGAAGGCTCTAGGGGGTGCTGTTCTCGGAGTGGCTTCACCCGGCGGGGAGACAGACGGCGTCCATCTTATATACAGTCGATGATTTTTATGCAAATTTTATTCGCGTCACACCAGGCGTAAATCGAATATTTTGTGTTGTTTTGCTAATTCGCCGGTGTGAAACAACCTTAAGCGTCCAAGCTTACCTGCTCCCCTAAGACACTTACTATTGTCAATTAGATCTTATTGCCTTTCCTCAATAAAATGGAAATATCCCTTTAACCCAAATTTCCAAAAGCATAGAGTTGTCACCTCAAAAACAACCTTTTAAAATGACTTAGTCACTCAAATGAAGTCAGTGTTCATGCCTGTTTATGTCTCATGTTGCACACTCTGAGAAACGTGCCTTTATTTCTGCAGCATCTAGGTCTCAACTGAACCTGTCTTTACTGCAACACCAACAATAATTATCCCTCCAAAATGTGTCAGCACCTTTTCATAGAGTCTTTTTCTGTGCCATTTTCTAATTAGCATTTAATTACACGGTCAGGTCAAGAAAAACCTATTTCTTTCCTGTCAGCTATAAAAACAAACAAGACCTAACAGCTTTAGATACCAGACTGCACCATAAAAACAGAATCTGCTCCCCATTTCCTTTGCAGTGCAGCAGCTGCAGGAGTGGGGGGAATAAAAAAACAAAAAACAAGTTTATTTCATCCATATTGAATGAAACAGAATTTTAATATCTTCTTTTGTATTCAAAGTCCCTTGGGGATCAGGAAGGACTCAGAACCCAGTTAAACCTTCTCAGATCACAGAAGTTCAAACATATCAGATCACTTCTAAGACCATTTTAGCCGATAATCTTTCAGAAAACATGATGAAATCCAGATTGAACTTCCAACCATGGCCATTTTGGCTCTATATAACTATAGTCTTTTTGTGGAGTGACATTTAGCTTTGTGGTGTAGTTTCTCCTTGGTTGGAGATAACACTCTCTTACTTTAAAAGAATTAATGATTCATTTTCTCTAACTAAATCTGTCTTATGTTGTATTAGCATTCAAAGGTCGTTTGTGTTAAGAAAAAGGGGGGACAAAAACTCTGATTAATTTCTAATTAGCCTTTGTTCATTAGACTTTAGTGATAATGGGGTGAAGGGTAACATGCTAATTGGAGTAATATGCTAATTGAAGGTAAACTCATTTTCCTTCACAGTGAGAGGTTTCATGGGCCTTGGGGGTGAAAGTAAAGGCGTGGGGCATGTGTGGATAGTAACCTTCAGCTACAGCACGTATGCAGCATGAAACTGACAGAGAGGGAACAGAGGTTGAATATAAAACAGGGGCGGACAGATGATAAACTTAAAATGAGATTTTAAAAAGTTTTAACTAATAGGGGCAATAGCTAGTCATTGTGCTGTTCTTGCTGGGGGCCCTTTAGGTCTGTGGCTAATAGCTATACACTTTCGTTATCCTTGAACCTGTGGTCTTTTATGTTACCATGACTTAGCTTTTTGTCCTTATCTGGAAACTTGCACAAGTGCAGCTAAAATTCGGTTTGTAAGCAATGTCTCTCAGTTTTATCATTAAATCATACATGAGTCACCCTCGGAACGAAACATCAAAGAAAGATGCTCTCCTTCAGACTCAAACACATGAATCTTACATTGCTGTACTGTAGTTTTGGAGACAGTGAAATTGATCGTAGTATTTTTCTTAACTTTTAGAACTCTCCTTCCTTAATTTTCACCCTCAAATGTTCTTATAAATGAGGGTCTTCTTCGGCCATGGACTCTCCTTAACCTTCTCCTCCAGCTACCCTAAACTGAAATCACCAGTTGTTATTTGACTTGATGTTAGTGTCAGGTGAACACTGAGAAATGTAAAGATGTTGCTCAGATGGATTTAGTTGGCATGCTCGGAGTGTTTCATGTCTGCTTGTGGTGGAGAGTACAACATTAAAAGTCTCACGAACTCTAACCCTGATGGTGCAGGTTGTACTGAAAAGGAGAAAAGAGTTAAGAGAGCCTGTGAAGGCTTTTGAGTCAGGAAAACTCTAGTTTGGGCTGTGCTGTGTTAAATTTTAAAGGGACTCTGGTCAACTTAAGAGAAGTGGAAGAAAATTAAGGAGCTATTGAAAGAAATTAGTCATGGGTCAAGCTCAGCAGTAAAGACTGCCTTCTATTAACTTGATGGAGGAAATTGTGATCAGAGTGCAGCTGGGTGAGTCTGACAAGCATCCAGGTCATTTTACATTCAGAGTCAGAAAAGGGGAGTGTGTGGAGAGAGACACAAGGTCACGATCGGGTCACAAATTACTTTCATAAAACATCACACATTATTAATTTCAGTGTCAGGCAGTGACATGGTATTCAGTCATTTGTTATAATGTCTCTTCTAGTAGCAAGTGGCCTGCTGGAAAGTTCACTGTGTAAGGGAGATTTTACTATCAAGAAGAAAAATAAACTTCCAAAGGTTAGGCTGAATGTGAAATTAAAAATGAAAGAGGTGAAGTGTGAAAAACTGGGGCACCATTGGAGTAAAAATGGGTTTCAGAGGAGAAAAGTCATGGTGTGAGTAAAGGAGTAAGAGTAGAGGAATTACAGAGCTGCAACGGTTCAGCTGGAATCTGACACAGAAATGAAGGATCACTAGGATGTAAGCCTTTAAGTGCAGAATGTTACAGAGGTCACTATCAACCATGTTAAAGGGACCATAGCAATCAATACCTTGCACTTACTGAGATCAATACATAAAATCCTGTGTCAGACTCCTGATCATCAGTCAATATGATCATGAAGCCTACCGTCCACATGCACTTTACAGTCATCACAAATGTCCATGTAGTCTGAAACCTTTGTAAAGGATAAACCTGATGTCAATTTTAGTTCTATAAGTGTAAGTGTATAAGTGAACAATGCTATTGATGAGAAGTGCCTTTAAGTGATGAAGAAGAAACTTAAATGACTTCAGTCTGCCCATATTTGTGTATCTGAATGTTAGTCAAAGTCAAAAAGGTAACAACATTACAGGAGCTATCTGTGTACAGCTTGTTCCTCCGTGACCCTCAGTGTCTGTAGAAGAAGTTGAAGACACAAGTTTCCATCCAGAGGACTCACTCTGCACATGTACTCGCCCTCAGATTGTTTGCATTGAGCTCCAAATTGGATTAGCACAAAGTCGATACCTGTCATTGCCATGATGCAATGCAGATGCAATTACTCAACTAACTGAGGAGAATGCTTTTCATGTTTCTCTGACCTTGGCATTACGTCACTGATTTCTACTTATCTAACAGCTCTGCTATATTCCAAATTAAGTAATTGTTTGAAGAAATGCACGCTTAAAAAATGATCCAATACAAGACTGATGAAAGGACACATGACCTTCTATTATGCAGGACACCAGAGAGGAGGGGCACCAGTCATATTTGGCTAGTTTAGCTGTGTAGACATATCTCTGTGATTGTATGAAGTACTGGTAAAAAATCATACGGCAGACTCTGAGTGATAAAAGATTAGAAAAGAAAAGAAACGTTGTAGTCTTGCCTTTAACTAAATCTTCTATCATAAACTTAGTTTTGTTTGAGTGTATCTCTCGCTTGTCTTAATGTCTGATGGTGCTCTTATTTTAGTATCTTTTTGTTCTGTTTTTCCATATCATTTTAGTTCATTATTTCTTTAATTTTATTTCATGTTAGGTTTTTTTTGACATTTTAATTTTACCTCTAGTGCTTCCTCATTCTAAAGATTAGGAGGGCTTTTCCTCAGTGCACACATATTTCTGCTTTTACTGAATCCATTGCTTGTGATATAAAATGGACTTGGTAGATGGATTTAAGCTTGTGTACCTTTTTTTCTAGTCATCTGACTACTTAATGCACTTTACAACTTGCCACTAATGTGTTTGGATTGCAGGCTGGGGGTGGGGGGACAGGGATGGGGTGCAAAGTGGGTTATTAGGGCCCGAGCGTAGCTGCTAAGCAGCTGCGAGAGCCCTATTATTCCTGATGGATTCTTCTTTCTTCTTCTTATTAGGGCCCGAGCGTAGCTGCTAAGCAGCTGCGAGAGCCCTATTATTCCCCAAGTGGTTTTTCTTTGTTTCTTTTTTCTTTTTCCTCCCCTTTGAACTGGAAAATGGCCCACTTCCCACTGGCGAAAACTCAGGAAATTTGGCAGGACGACCGGGCCTGGTGAAAAATTTGATATTCCGAAGTCGCCCAAACAAGAAAATGCAAAATGGCTCCATAGCGCCCCCTAAGGTGAAAATTCACACTATTGACTGTCACGCCTGTACGCTTTGTCAAAATGACACAAAAATTGACACACACATGTATCTCAATAAGATCTACAAAAAAGTCAGTGCGGGCGTATCTGTCAAATGTACGGTTAAAGGGTTATTTTGCATTTTTTGCCGATCCGCACACATTGGAATTTCGCTAACTCCTCCGAAGGCTTTCGTTCCACCGGCACCACATTTGCTCAGGCCAATCTACACCCCATGGCCATTAAAAGTTATTCAAATCATGACGCTGCACCCCACGGTTTAGGTTCTAGGGGGCGCCAAAGATAACCCTAAAATCCACATTTTTAAAAGTCTTATAACTTTTTATTTTTGCCCTCACTGGCCTCCAAGTTTTCTAGGATGATGCAATGTCCAGCCATCAACACATTTGTGAAGGAATTTTTACTCCCCAAAAGAGCGCCCCCCCATGGCAGGAGAAAAAAGTCCATTTTTTCTTGTCCCCTAAGGTGAAAATACACATTGTTGAGTGTCACGCCTGTACGCTTTGTCAAAATGACACAAAAATTGACACACACATGTATCTCAATAAGATCTACAAAAAAGTCAATGCGTGCGTATCTGTCTAATGTACGGTTAAAGGGTTATTCCGCATTTTTTGCCGATTCGCACACATTGGAATTTCGCTAACTCCTCCGAAGGCTTTCGTTCCACCGGCACCACATTTGCTCAGGCCAAATTACACCCCATGGCCATTAAAAGTTATTCAAATCATGACGCTGCATCCCACGGTTTACGTTCTAGGGGGCGCCAAAGATAACCCAAAAATCCACATTTTTAAAAGTCTTATAACTTTTTATTTTTGTCCTCACTGGCCTCCAAGTTTTCTAGGATGATGCAATGTCCAGCCATCAACACATTTGTGAAGGAATTTTTACTCCCTAAAAGAGCGCCCCCCCATGGCAGGAGAAAAAAGTCCATTTTTTCTTGTCCCCTAAGGTGAAAATACACATTGTTGACTGTCACGCCTGTACGCTTTGGCAAAATGACACAAAAATTGACAATCATGTGTATCTCAATTAGATCTACGAAAAAGTCAAAGAGCGCGTATCTGTATAATGTACGGTAAAAGGGCTATTTTGCATTTTTTGCCGATTCGCACACATTGGAATTTCGCTAACTCCTCCTAAGGCTTTCGTCCCACTGACACCAAATTTGCTCAGGCCAATCTACACTCCATGGCCATTCAAAGTTGTAAAAATCATGACGCTGCACCCCACGGTTTACGTTTTAGGGGGCGCCAAAGATGACCCAAATATACATTACAGTAGACAAAGTAGTTTTGCCCACTGAGTGGCGCCAAAGGGACTTGTCTGTGGAGTCTGTGAGTCACTATTGGCCGTTTTTGACTACTTTAGATTTTACCTTTATATTTCCTCTTACAAAATTTTTACCTTGCCTTGCCTGGTATCATTTTTTTCAGCACAACCTCACCTGTGTCAATTTACAGTTATTTTATCATTTTGACATACTATATTTACACATTGGACCCAAATTCACACACAAAACATAAAATCCGAGTGGAAAAAAGTAACGTTTTTACTGTGAAAACCACAAATATGTGTGATGAACTGTTTTTAAAACTTAAACTTCAAATAAAAATTGTAAACTTCAAAACATATGCAAATTTTTAACAAAGAACATAGTAATTTACCTCTATTGACATCAAAATGCAGGCAATGGCCCAGGCGTTCTTTGTAAAATTATTTACAAAACACTGTATAGTCTCACAAATGTCACTTTTTATTTATGCCACTACAAAAAAACATGATGTAAATGATGCATGATGTAAAACATGATGTAAAAAACTTGTGTAGATCCTCCTCTATGTTAGTCCATGTGTAATTTTTCCATAATTCTTTGTTTTTTGCAGCATTTTTGTTAGTGTAACTGCAGATTGTGCTGACAGTGTCTGTGGCAAAAAAAAAAAAAAAAAACTGAAAATGCCTCAACATGAACCCCTGGTGGTCTCTGAGGGTGAAACCTGCTAACTGCTGCAGCTCTGTCAGCTTCAGTCTCCCATGCAGAGCTCGGAGCGCATGTGTGGCTCTGCACCCTTAGCAGCGTTGCTAACTCCTCAGTAAGGAAAGCCTGCTTCATGTCAGAGTCTCTAAACTCCAGAAGTCGATAAAAGTCACTTTCTTTCTAAAAAAAAAGTCGTTAGGGGGTCTGAAAAGTCATTGAATCTAACAACAAAGTCGCTAGGTTTGCAACTACGTGTCCCAGACTGCATCCCTGCTGAGAGTCCCTCCCTCCCTTCTCATATTGCAGGAAGAACGTAAGCGCCCGCCCCTTGTCAATCAGTCACCATATAATTTTGGATTGGTTGTTGTGGTGAAGTTTTCCACCAATAGGAGAGATGTTGTGGTGTGTTTTTTTCTTTTCCTTTGGCAAGCCTTTTCCGCCTGTAAGACCTGTCGCTAATGTCTGCATGCTATGTTTTCCTGTCTCATACAGCGCGATCGAGCGCCGAACGTGATCAAAATAAGCAGAAAACAAGTATCGCGGACATAATTTATCATAACTCTGGTTTTATTTGGCCTATCAACACAATTTAAAAACTGGTATATAGGTTGAGGTCCTCACTTTTGAGATAAGTTGAAACGGAGAGTCAACGAGGCTCCGTCTTGCAGCTACATCCGGTTAAATATGTCATGTGACTTGAACGCACACACACACACACACACACACACACACACACAGACACACACACACACGCACACACACACCGTCTTGCAGCTACATCCGGTTAAATATGTCATGTGACTTGAACGCACACACACACACACACACACACACACACACACAGACACACACACACACGCACACTCAGAGTCTGGTTTTTAGCACCTGCAAAAACATGCTATTTACATATTTGACAAGAATGCAGAGGCTTCCTTTTGCCCCTGAAAAAAAATCAAATTTCAAACACAACTTGACTGCTCATTTCTCCAAAAGACAACCATGAAGCTCCATCCAAACCTGAAGCAGGCAGTTGGTGCATGTGTACAGTAACCTGAGGGGAGTGAGGTGACTGCTTCTGAGGAGAACATGAGCAGTGAAGATTCACCTTGGAGCTAGAACAGGGACGTGTACATGATTATACAGGGGCAGGGGCTCAAGTTTTTTCCAGTCGTTTATACAATATGGAAATTAATGTGAAATTAAAAAACAAAGTATTAATAGAAAGGTAATGACTGTCCTGTGTAGGTGACAGTGATATCCAATAGGCTAGGCACTCACGAGGCTGGCTGTGGCAAGTGTAAGTGAAAGCAACACGCACTGGCAGGAAGAACAGCAAACGCCGATGAAGGAAAAGGGTCTTTGTAGTGATGGGCGTTACCAGAGAGGGCGATGGCCAGAGGACGCGAATGGGACGGGGAGGCAGCGCGGGGGGGGGGGGGCGCGACACGGCTCGGGCCCGCCAGTGCCCCAACGGGGCCCTAGTTATTATTTTTCTGCCCCTTTGAACTGGAAAATGGCCCACTTCCCACTGGTGAAAAGTCATGAAATTTGGCAGGACGACCGGGCCTGGTGAAAAATTCGATATTCTGAAGTCGCCCAAAAAATCAAATGCAAAATGGCTCCATAGCGCCCCCTAAGGTGAAAAATTCACATGATTGAGTGTCACGCCTGTACGCTTTGTCAAAATGACACAAAATTTGACACACACGTGTATCTCAATAAGATCTACAAAAAAGTCAGTGCGGGCGTATCTGTCAAATGTACGGTTAAAGGGCTATTTCGCATTTTTTGCCGATCCGCACACATTGGAATTTCGCTAACTCCTCCGAAGGCTTTCGTTCCACCGGCACCAAATTTGCTCAGGCCAATCTACACCCCATGGCCATTAAAAGTTGTACAAATCATGACGCTGCATCCCACGGTTTACGTTCTAGGGGGCGCCAAAGATAACCCAGAAATCCACATTCTTAAAAGTCGTATAACTTTTTATTTTTGTCCTCACTGGCCTCCAAGTTTTCTAGGATGATGCAATGTCCAGCCATCAACACATTTGTGAAGGAATTTTTACTCCCCAAAAGAGCGCCCCCCCATGGCAGGAGAAAAAAGTCAATTTTTTCTTGTCTCCTAAGGCGAAAATTCACACTATTGACTGTCACGCCTTTACGCTTTGTCATATTGACACAAAAATTGACACACACATGTATCTCAGTAAGATCTACAAAAAAGTCAGTGCGGGCGTATCTGTCAAATGTACGGTGAAAGGGCTATTTCGCATTTTTTGCCGATCCGCACACATTGGAATTTCGCTAACTCCTCCGAAGGCTTTCGTTCCAAAGGCACCACATTTGCTGAGGCCAATCTACACCCCATGGCCATTAAAAGTTGTACAAATCATGACGCTGCACCCCACGGTTTACGTTCTAGGGGGCGCCAAAGATAACCCAAAAATCCACAGTCTTAAAAGTCTTATAACTTTTTATTTTTGTCCTCACTGGCCTCCAAGTTCTCTAGGATGATGCAATGTCCAGCCATCAACACATTTGTGAAGGAATTTTTACTCGCCAAAAGAGCGCCCCCCCATGGCAGGAGAAAAAAGTCCATTTTTTCTTGTCTCCTAAGGCGAAAATACACATTGTTGACTGTCACGCCTTTACGCTTTGTCAAAATGACACAAAATTTGACACACACATGTATCTCAATAAGATCTACAAAAAAGTCAGTGCGGGCGTATCTGTCAAATGTACGGTTAAAGGGTTATTTCGCATTTTTTGCCGATCCGCACACATTGGAATTTCGCTAACTCCTCCTAAATCTTTTGTCCCATCGGCTTCAAATTTGCTCAGGTCAATCTACACCCCATGGCCATTAAAAGTTGTACAAATCATGACGCTGCACCCCACAGTTTACGTTCTAGGGGGCGCCAAAGAGGACCCAAATATCCACATTTTTAAAAGTCGTATAACTTTTTATTTTTGTCCTCACTGGCCTCCAAGTTTTCTAGGATTATGCAATGTCCAGCCATCAACACATTTGTGAAGGAATTTTTTCTCCCCAAAAGAGCGCCCCCCCATGGCAGGAGAAAAAGTCAAGTTTTTCCTGCCCATCGCTCAATGGCTCAAACGCATCGCTCTCTCTGCAAAACCGAAAGGAGGAGCAACTTGCCATTTGGATATATACCAGCTGTGTTTGTGCCCTCACTCATGGTCCAGACTTTTTTCAAATAGGACATGTAGTTTGTCTGCAGCGAGCGTTTTGGTAGAAACTGCGCCTCCCATTCATTATAATGGGAAATGACCACAGACAAGTGCGCACACCATCTTTGGACCTTGAGTGTGACGCAATCGGGAGGGGGAGGCGGTCGCGCTGGGGGCGGCGCGACGCGGCTCGGGCCCGACAGTGCCCCACCGGGGCCCTAGTTCGTTATTATTTTTCCTCCGCTTTAAACTGGAAAATGGCCCACTTCCCACTGGCGAAAACTCAGGAAATTTGGCAGGACGACCGGGCCTGGTGAAAAATTCGATATTCTGAAGTCGCCCAAACAATAAAATGCAAAATGGCTCCATAGCGCCCCCTAAGGTGAAAATTCACATGACGGCTGTACGCTTTGTCATATTGACACAAAAATTGACACACACATGTATCTCAATAAGATCTACAAAAAAGTCAGTGCGGGCGTATCTGTCAAATGTACGGTTAATGGGTTATTTTGCATTTTTTGCAGATCTGCACACATTGGAATTTCGCTAACTCCTCTGAAGGCTTTCGTTCGACCGGCACCACATTTGCGCAGGCCAATCTACCCCCCATGGCCATTAAAAGTTGTACAAATCATGACGCTGCACCCCACGGTTTACGTTCTAGGGGGCGCCAAAGATAACCCAAAATCCACATTCTTAAAAGTCTTATAACTTTTTATTTTTGTCCTCACTGCCCTCCAAGTTTTCTAGGATGATGCAATGTCCAGCCATCAACACATTTGTGAAGGAATTTTTACTCCCCAAAAGAGCGCCCCCCCATGGCAGGAGAAAAAAGTCAATTTTTTCTTGTCCCCTTACATGAAAATACACATTGTTGAGTGTCACGCCTGAACGCTTTGTCATATTGACACAAAAATTGACAATCATGTGTATCTCAATTAGATCTACGAAAAAGTCAAAAAGCGCGTATCTGTATAATGTACGGTTAAAGGGCTATTTCGCATTTTTTGCGGATTCGCACACATTGGAATGTGGCTATCTCCTCCTAAGGCTTTCGTCCCATCGGCTTCAAATTTGCTCAGGTCAATCTACACCCCATGGCCATTTAAAGTTGTAAAAATCATGACGCTGCACCCCACGGTTTACGTTCTAGGGGGCGCCAAAGATGACCCAAAAATCCACATTCTTAAAAGTCATTTTGGCCACTGCAGGAGTACAGAGTACTGCAGTTCTAGGGGGCGCCAAAGATGACCCAAAAATCCACATTCTTAAAAGTCTTTTTGGCCACTGCAGGAGTACAGAGTACTGCAGGATACACACACATACACACACACACACACACACACACACACACACACACACACACACACACACTCAGAGTCTGGTTTTTAGCACCTGCAAAAACATGCTGTTTACATATTTGACAAGAATGCAGAGGCTTCCTTTTGCCCCTGAAAAAAATCAGATTTCAAACACAACTTGACTGTTCATTTCTCCAAAAGACAACCATGAAGCTCCATCCAAACCTGAAGCAGATAGTTGGTGCATGTGTACAGTAACCTGAGGGGAGTGAGGTGACTATTTCTGAGGATAACATGAGCAGTGAAGATTCACCTTGGAGCTAGAACAGGGACGTGCACATGATTATACAGGGGCAGGGGCTCAAGTTTTTTCCAGTCATTTATACAATATGGAAATTAATGTGAAATTAAACCACAAATATGTGTGATGAACTGTTTTTAAAACTTAAACTTCAAATAAAAATTGTAAACTTCAAAACATATGCAAATTTTTAACAAAGAACATAGTAATTTACCTCTATTTACATCAAAATGCAGGCAATGGCCCAGGCGTTCTTTGTAAAATTATTTACAAAACACTGTATAGTCTCACAAATGTCACTTTTTATTTATGCCACTACAAAAAAACATGATGTAAATGATGCATGATGTAAAACATGATGTAAAAAACTTGTGTAGATCCTCCTCTATGTCAGTCCATGTGTAATTTTTCCATAATTCTTTGTTTTTTGCAGCATTTTTGTTAGTGTAACTGCAGATTGTGCTGACAATCTATGGCAAAAAAAACCAAAAACTGAAAATGCCTCAACATGAACCCCTGGTGGTCTCTGAGGGTGAAACCTGCTAACTGCTGCAGCTCTGTCAGCTTCAGTCTCCCATGCAGAGCTCTGAGCGCATGTGTGGCTCTGCACCCTTAGCAGCGTTGCTAACTCCTCAGTAAGGAAAGCCTGCTTCATGTCAGAGTCTCTAAACTCCAGAAGAAGTCGATAAAAGTCCCTTTCTTTCTAAAAAAAGTCGTTAGGGGGTCTGAAAAGTCATTGAATCTAACAACAAAGTCGCTAGGTTTGCAACTACGTGTCCCAGACTGCATCCCTGCTGAGAGTCCCTCCCTCCCTTCTCATGTTGCAGGAAGAACGTAAGCGCCCGCCCCTTGTCAATCAGTCACCATATAATTTTGGATTGGTTGTTGTGGTGAAGTTTTCCACCAATAGGAGAGATGTTGTGGTGTGTTTTTTTTTTCTTTTGGCAAGCCTTTTCCGCCTGTAAGACCTGTCGCTAATGTGTGCATGCTATGTTTTCCTGTCTCATACAGCGCGATCGAGCGCCGAACGTGATCAAAATAAGCAGAAAAAAAGTATCGCGGACATAATTTATCATAACTCTGGTTTTATTTGGCCTATCAACGCAATTTAAAAACTGGTATATAGGTTGAGGTCCTCACTTTTGAGATAAGTTGAAACGGAGAGTTAACGAGGCTCCGTCTTGCAGCTACATCCGGTTAAATATGTCATGTGACTTGAACGCTGGGGAGCGTCAATCGAATCGAATCAAACCTAACTCTCAGATGAATCTTCAAAATTCACCTCAGAAATATGCTTATTATTCTTCTCAGAGTACTGCAGGATACACACACACACACACACACAGACACACACACACACACACACACACACACACACACACACACACACACACACACACACACACACTCAGAGTCTGTTTTTTAGCACCTGCAAAAACATGCTATTTACATATTTGACAAGAATGCAGAGGCTTCCTTTTGCCCCTGAAAAAAATCAAATTTCAAACACAACTTGACTGCTCATTTCTCCAAAAGACAACCATGAAGCTCCATCCAAACCTGAAGCAGGCAGTTGGTGCATGTGTACAGTAACCTGAGGGGAGTGAGGTGACTGCTTCTGAGGAGAACATGAGCAGTGAAGATTCACCTTGGAGCTAGAACAGGGACGTGCACATGATAATACAGGGGCAGGGGCTCAAGTTTTTTCCAGTCGTTTATACAATAAGGAAATTAATGTGAAATTAAAAAACAAAGTATGACTGTCCTGTGTAGGTGACAGTGATATCCAATAGGCTAGGCACTCACGAGGCTGGCTGTGGCAAGTGTAAGTGAAAGCAACACGCACTGGCAGGAAGAACAGCAAACGCCGATGAAGGAAAAGGGTCTTTGCAGTGATGGGCGTTACCAGAGAGGGCGATGGCCAGAGGACACAAATGGGACGGGGAGGCAGCGCGTTGGGGGGGGACGCGACACAGCTCGGGCCCGCCAGTGCCCCAACGGGGTCCTAGTTATTTCTTTAGTATTCTTTTCTGTGTGTAAAGCACTGTGTGCTACATTGTGTTGTATGGAAAGCGCCATACAAATAAAGGTTGATTGATTGTTAGATTGATTTAATGGGCTACTGTTTCTATGCATATGTAAACAACATTACAATTTGAGTAAATAAATGAGAGAAGTAGAGCAGTTTCACAGAGACACAAAGTACATGGAAAAGCCAAAGCCTGTCTGCGTAATATACGTGCAACAACACAGTGTGCATGGAAGACAGAACAAGGAAGTAGTGTGGGACTTTAAACAACCACTGCATGATCCAGAAGGTCAGTTTGTGATGCCACTCGAAAATGAGCCTTATACAAGCTTTCAATTACCATTGTGTGCATTTTTAAACATGATCAAGTGTATTAAATATTAACCATAGGGAGTGTGTGGAGAGAGTAATTCTGTTGTTGATGTGCATTTGTGATGACTACAGTATCTCTTTATTTCACACTCTGACTGGGGTCAGAAACCCCATCGGAACATGACACCTGTAACAGACTACCACTAAATGTAACTGTATAGTAATTTTTACATCTCTGAATTAAGTAATACAATGATGTAATCGTCTTCGATGAAAGAGTTTGCAGAAAAAGCTTAAGACATTGTAACTGAAATGTAACATTTAAAGCCAATGTCACACACACACATGAAATTAAACTAGAAGCAATAACAGGAACAAATGAAACAGAAAAAAATAGATTGTTGAAAAGGAATTTTGGGCTCATTCTAACATGATGTTATTAACTATGTGTTGAGCAAATTCATGCGCGTATGTTGAATAAAGCGATAGGAGAAGATTTCCGGTCTCAATCAGCAATATTTTATTAACAAAGAGTTGAATATACGATACAGAGCTTCTCTCCCGGTCCCTTTCTGCTCAGTTTCTCTCCCATGGTGGGTGGTCTGACGAAGATTGTTGTTAAAACCCTGTGTTTTAGAGTCTAGCACAGTTATCTAAATCAGCAAGTAGCAACTGTTGTTCTATCGTGATTGGTCATCTTGTCTCCTGTCCATAACCACATTCTTATCTGTTAAGAAGCACAAATACAAAGAGAAGACAATATGAACATTTTTGAGGTAATAAAATGTTCTGCCGGAGAAATATATAGTCATTTGGGCTAACAAAATACTATATACAAAAACAGAAAATATTTTAAGTTTTGAAAATTTGTGGTAAGGCGCACCTGGTGACATGCAGCATATGCCACCAACTGCTGGTCATATGGCAGAAGGTTCTGTCACAGCGAAATTATTGTACTGTCCTGCTGATAGCTCAATGTTTGACCATTTTCTGTCCTGAGACCCACTACATATTCTGCCAGGCTATCCACTCTGTCCATCCCTGGGATGCCATGCACATCAACAGCCTGGAAAAGACAGGAGTACACATCAAAATTAAAACACAACTAGAAAAGTACAGCTGTCAGTCCACTCACAAAACACTAAGCATCTACTGTAGGATGTTTTATGTCCATGTCTAATCAGACATATAGACATGGATGAGTATTCTTGCTTTACCTTGACATGTTTTGACTGGTGTCTTTCTTAGAAGAGAGCACCTGATGTTGCTGGAATGTGTCACACCAGCTGATGTTACACAGAAAATCAGCTGAGAAAACACTTCACAGCAACATCAGGTGGCCCGGCAGTTGTAGTCAAAACATGTCAATGTAACGCAAAGACTCTCATCTGTATGTGTGATTAGAAGAACATAGATGATTATCATATGAAGTCATAATGAACTTAACTGAACTAAGACTTACCGCCTGTTGAACAGGTACTGCTGGAGCCAAAGTAGGTTCCCCAGAGGGACCCACAGTTGCTATGGAGAGAGTGGCTGGTAGGATGTTTGGGGGGGGGGGGGGGGGGGAGGCGAGGCGGCACTGGAGGTGACAGCTGTAGGTTCAGAGGACAGGGTGTGTGTATTCTGTTAAATTGAATAAGACAATTGTTAAAATCAATGATGCAAAAGGACAAACCAGCTGTTTCTCAGGGGTTGCTGGGGTGGCCATCCTTGACCCAGCTGTAGCTGCAGCAGAGGCAGCAATTGTGAAGAAGGTAGAGAGAGGAGGGGCAGAGGCTGTACTAATGATGCTGGCTGACTGGCCAGAGGACAACTGAGCCTGGAAAAAAAAAATTGCATCATATTACAAGTGCAAGCTGCTAAGCAGCTGCGAGAGCCCTATTATTCCCCAAGTGGTTTTTCTTTGTTTCTTTTTTCTTTTTCCTCCCCTTTGAACTGGAAAATGGCCCACTTCCCACTGGCGAAAACTCAGGAAATTTGGCAGGACGACCGGGCCTGGTGAAAAATTTGATATTCCGAAGTCGCCCAAACAAGAAAATGCAAAATGGCTCCATAGCGCCCCCTAAGGTGAAAATTCACACTATTGACTGTCACGCCTGTACGCTTTGTCAAAATGACACAAAAATTGACACACACATGTATCTCAATAAGATCTACAAAAAAGTCAGTGCGGGCGTATCTGTCAAATGTACGGTTAAAGGGTTATTTTGCATTTTTTGCCGATCCGCACACATTGGAATTTCGCTAACTCCTCCGAAGGCTTTCGTTCCACCGGCACCACATTTGCTCAGGCCAATCTACACCCCATGGCCATTAAAAGTTATTCAAATCATGACGCTGCACCCCCACGGTTTAGGTTCTAGGGGGCGCCAAAGATAACCCTAAAATCCACATTTTTAAAAGTCTTATAACTTTTTATTTTTGCCCTCACTGGCCTCCAAGTTTTCTAGGATGATGCAATGTCCAGCCATCAACACATTTGTGAAGGAATTTTTACTCCCCAAAAGAGCGCCCCCCCATGGCAGGAGAAAAAAGTCCATTTTTTCTTGTCCCCTAAGGTGAAAATACACATTGTTGAGTGTCACGCCTGTACGCTTTGTCAAAATGACACAAAAATTGACACACACATGTATCTCAATAAGATCTAAAAAAAAGTCAATGCGTGCGTATCTGTCTAATGTACGGTTAAAGGGTTATTCCGCATTTTTTGCCGATTCGCACACATTGGAATTTCGCTAACTCCTCCGAAGGCTTTCGTTCCACCGGCACCACATTTGCTCAGGCCAAATTACACCCCATGGCCATTAAAAGTTATTCAAATCATGACGCTGCATCCCACGGTTTACGTTCTAGGGGGCGCCAAAGATAACCCAAAAATCCACATTTTTAAAAGTCTTATAACTTTTTATTTTTGTCCTCACTGGCCTCCAAGTTTTCTAGGATGATGCAATGTCCAGCCATCAACACATTTGTGAAGGAATTTTTACTCCCTAAAAGAGCGCCCCCCATGGCAGGAGAAAAAAGTCCATTTTTTCTTGTCCCCTAAGGTGAAAATACACATTGTTGACTGTCACGCCTGTACGCTTTGGCAAAATGACACAAAAATTGACAATCATGTGTATCTCAATTAGATCTACGAAAAAGTCAAAGAGCGCGTATCTGTATAATGTACGGTAAAAGGGCTATTTTGCATTTTTTGCCGATTCGCACACATTGGAATTTCGCTAACTCCTCCTAAGGCTTTCGTCCCACTGACACCAAATTTGCTCAGGCCAATCTACACTCCATGGCCATTCAAAGTTGTAAAAATCATGACGCTGCACCCCACGGTTTACGTTTTAGGGGGCGCCAAAGATGACCCAAATATACATTACAGTAGACAAAGTAGTTTTGCCCACTGAGTGGCGCCAAAGGGACTTGTCTGTGGAGTCTGTGAGTCACTATTGGC